ATAGGTGATGAAGTAGAAAAGTTGTAAGTTTTGAGGTAATGAATTAATCAGTCTTTGATTAAAGTAATGAGGTAGTATTGAGAGTCTGCAAAGAAAGTGTTAATTGTTTTACTAGCAGCTATGATTTACTGGGTGGGAGGAATTTATTGCTCTGATTGCTGCTGCTATTACTCTGTAAACAATAGGCTGTAACAAGATATTCAAAGCACACTGGATTTTTGAAAGAGAGCAAAACTTGCTGAATTAAAACACTTTAACTACAATCAATATGTCTCTGAATAAGATTGTTTTCCAGTAGTTTCCTAAAGTTCTTCAAGTTGAGAAGTAGTAAAAATACAGTCCAGAAATTTGGGTTAACCAATCCAATCGGTCCAATCCAATCTACTTCTAGTTGCAATATCTTTTTTTAAAAAACTAAATCTGATAGTCACTCCAGATCATTAATCGCAGCTATTTTCCTCCTTTGAGTCCCACTTTTCAAGGAAAATTCCACTGCAAAAATTGGAGTGATTCTTACCAAGACTAAGCATGCTGATACAAGATCTTTCTTTTTCACTTCTGTCTCAGCTGCCTTCCTGGCTTCGATTTAGCCATGCTGGCAGTTCTCTTTTTAGTTCGGATGGAGGGGTTTTCTTTGGGTCAGTCGAGGAGACTCTCCTCTCCTTGCGACCATCGAAGCATTCCTCTGCCTTTATCACCTGTCCAGGGTCTTTCGGCTCCTAAGAGCCTCAGGGCTTTCTCCTCCTTCCTTGTTTCTCCCTGCCAGCTGTCCGATGTGGCTCCGGGGAAACTGTGTGGCGGATATTAATGGAAATACGTTGTCTGGCGTGGAAGATACTTCTATCAGCTGTGTGAGGGATTTAAATGAAGGTATGTTGTTTGTACTCTGCTTGGTCCAAGTGATCCAGTTCAAGAGCTCCACCAGTGTGGTTAATAGGGCTCGATGGAAAGAGCTTCACTTCTCTGGGGAAGGAGAGGAGGGCTCTGGATCAGTTAGCAGGAGCTCCACCAGCATTATTAGGGCTCCACGGCTTCAGAATCTAGCATTTTGGGGCTTGTTTTGGGGGCTCTGGTTTACTCACGGTTACTGGTGCAGGCAGCAGCTTTAAAAGTGATTTCTGGTACAGGTGGTGGCTTTATAGGGAGATAGTGCTCCAGGAGCGAGAGCCTCACCTTCCTAGTTGGGCGCCACCATTTTTTGGGGAGCCAAAAGTTCTAGGAATCCAATCTACTCATTGGTTCTTCACTGGTTTGGCTTTTGCAGACCTATCTCCAGTTCTCTATCTTGGGAGGTTCAGATGTAGAGTCTGCATTGTATTGGCAACTAATAAAGCATTCACTTTCAAATATGTGCTAATCTATCTCATACATTATTGTGTTTACAGAATAAAAATACAGAAATGGTTTGCTATTACCTTGCTCTGGGGTAGATACTAAAAGTTCTTTAAAGGGATAGCTACCCTCACACCTGCAAAATCCTCTTTTAACTCATACCCATTGAAACTTGCTCTTTATTTTCCCACTCTCTTTTCTACCTTATTAGCATGGGTAAGTCTTGTTAGGAATGATAGTCACCTAACAGTTGGGTTGGAAATATATAAACCAGGATAGTAATGTAATACTATATCTTTAAGAGAGTGCTGTAATTATGATTGGCTGAGGTTCCTCCAACGGCTATAAGATGGAGCCAGAAACCTGGTTTCTTTCTCCTTGCATTTCCTGTTTTGTTGTATTGCCTGATCGTCGTTCTACTTCGGATTGCTGTGAGTCTTGCAACTGTTAAACTCTGTTTATGATACTTGACTTTGTTTTTGGATTATCCCTGGACTGATACTGCTTTAACTGTGTATGATTTGGACTGTTTGTTGGACTTTGTTTACCCGTTTACTGGAAGTAAAACATACATTTTACTATTCAGTGTATCTGTATGCTGGTCATGTGTTATTCAACATCACTCTCACTACGTTTCCCTGAGTGCACTCATTCTCCTAACAGGGAATACCTCAACAAGTCTCCCATTAAATTGTATTCCCAGGATCAGTGGAGTCCTATGCTACACCCATGTAAAGATGGGAATTCCGATTAGACATAAAACCACATAAATGTTTTTTCTGGAGATGCAGTATTCAGCAAAGACATGCTACAGACAAAACCTTTTTTAATATAATAATTCAGGAATTATATTACAGTCATGATTATTTTTTCTATATACTGATTTTACAGTACAGAATTGAAGAATGAGAATAATCATCCCCTCAGGGAAAATGTAAAAGACACTTAGCTCAGTCAACTGATTTGCAAAAAAACATGAAGGCAGTGAGAAGCCGTTTTTATATATTATGCTAAGAAAATACGTGGATGTGTCCATGTGAGTCATCAGGGGTGGATGAATTAAAAGTGAATTAATATAAGAAGAGGGCTATCCTGAAAGATTAGTAAAATCAAAATACTACCTGTATTCAGAACTCCTGAAAAATCCTGAATTTTCTGAGTCTATTGTTAGTTTTATTTTTTCATCATTATCAATTATTGAAAAATGAAATTGACTTAATACCTTAACATAATTTGCTTACCTGCCAGGTTATAATTTACTTTTCCAAGATCAAATAAACCCCAACTTTGCAGGATGTGAAACAATAGTTATGCTTTGATTTAATTTATTCCTGAACAATTTGTTTTACAGAATACAACAAGCTTTATAAGAAAATTAGAATTTATTTTGTTTCTATTCTGTGTATTTGGACAATTGACCTGTCTCCAAAATAGACAATTTGAAAATAAAGGGTAAAGTGATTTGTCTTCATTAGCTACATATAAAATGCTTTCTTATGATAGCTAAAACTGGATGTTAGATTATGTACTCTTAGATACATAGTTTGATTTTTGGTCAAGCCTACTAAGCAAGAAATGATTTTCCAAGAAATGATATATAATTATTCGTGTATTACCAAACTACACTGCTCAAAAAAATAAAGGGAACACAAAAATAAGATATCCTAGATCTGAATGAATGAAATATTCTTATTAAATACATTGTTCATTACATAGTTGAATGTGCTGACAACAAAATCACACAAAAATTATCAATGGAAATCAAATTTAGCAACCCATGGAGGTCTGGATTTGGAGTTACACTCAAAATTAAAGTGGAAAAAAACACTACAGGCTGATCCAACTTTGATGTAATGTCCTCAAAGAAAGTCAAAATGAGGCTCAGTAGTGTGTGTGGCCTCCACGTGCCTGTATGACCTCCCTACAATGCCTGGGCATGCTCCTGATGAGGTGGCGGATGGTCTCCTGAGGGATCTCCTCCCACACCTGCACTAAAGCATCCCCCAACTCCTGGACAGTCTGTGGTGCAATGTGGCATTGGTGGATGGAGCAAGACATGATGTCCCAGATGTGCTCAATTGGATTCAGGTCTGGGGAACGGGCGGGCTAGTCCATAGCATCAATGCCTTCGTCTTGCAGGAACTGCTGACACACTATAGCCACATGAGGTCTAGCATTGTCGTGCATTAGGAGGAACCCAGGGCCGACCGCACCAGCATATGGTCTCACAAGGGGTCTGAGGATCTCATCTCGGTACCTAATGGCAGTCAGGCTACCTCAGGCGAGCACACGGAGGGCTGTGCGGGCCCCTAAAGAAATGCCACCCCACACCATTACTGACCCACTGCCAAACCGGTCATGCTGGAGGATGTTGCAGGGAAGTAGAACGTTCTCCACAGCGTCTCCAGACCCTGTCACGTCTGTCACATGTGCTCATTGTGAACCTGCTTTCATCTGTGAAGAGCACAGGGTGCCAGTGGTGAATTTGCCAATCTTGGTGTTTTCTGGCAAATGCCAAACGCCCTGCATGGTGTTGGGCTGTAAGCACAACCACCACCTGTGGATGTCGGGCCCTCATACCACCCTCATGGAGTCTGTTTCTGACCGTTTGAGCAGCCACATGCACATTTGTGGCCTGCTGGAGGTCATTTTGCAGGACTCTGGCAATGCTCCTCCTGTCCCTCCATGCACAAAGGCAGAGGTAGCGGTCCTGATGCTGGGTTGTTGCCCTCCTACGGCCTCCTCCACATCTGATGTACTGGCCTGTCTCCTGGTAGCGCCTCCATGCTCTGGATGCTATGCTGACAGATACAGCAAAACTTCTTGCTACAGCTCGCATTGATGTGCCATCCTGGATGAGCTGCACTACCTAAGCCACTTGTGGGTTATAGACTCCGTCTCATGCTATCACTAGAGCACGGGTGTCAAACTCGAGGCCCGGGGGCCAGATCCGGCCCGCAGGGTGCTTCGATCTAGCCCATGGGCCTGCCCTGGAAACAGCGAAGGACAAGCCTGAGATGCCTCTGCCAGTGAAAATAGATTCCTGAGCTGTGTTTTTGCTGGCAGAGGGTAGCAGGAAGCCACAGCAGCTGAAAACGGTGCTCGGGAGCCCATTTTCGGTGGCAGAGTCTCGGCCCAACACAGGTACCCCCAACACGAGTGATATTGAGCTGGCCACACACCTCCGAAGACAAACACAACCCTGTTGTGGCCCTCAAGGAAATCGAGTTTGACACCCCTGCACTAGAGTGATAGCACCGCCAGCATTCAAAAGTGACCAAACCATCAGCCAGAAAACATAGGAACTGAGAATTGATCTGTGGTCACCACCTGCAGAACCACTCCTTTATTGGGGATGTCTTACTAACTGCCTATGCTTTCCACCTGTTGTCTATTCCATTTGCACAACAGCATGTGAAATTGATTGTCAATCAGTGTTGCTACCTAAATAGACAATTTGATTTCACAGAAGTGTGATTGACTTGGAGTTACATTGTGTTGTTTAAATGTTCCCTTTATTTTTTTGAACAGTGTAGATTAAGATTGTTCAGATTTTCCAGATTTATTTTTCCTAGAAAACAGTATTTTCTTTTGACAATTGATAATTTGTTGCTTCCTACAAATAAAATATATATATTGAAACACATTATGTGCTTTTCCTGTTCCAGGGAGACAGTGGTGGTCCTCTGACATGCTACCTTCCAACCACTACAAAGTTTTATTTGATAGGAATTACCAGCTTTGGCTATGGTTGTGGTCGTCCAAGATATCCAGGAGTTTATGTTAGGACAATTAATTATCTAAATTGGATAAACAAGTATTTAAAGAGTAAAATTATAACACTGGAACTTCATTGCCTCTTGATCTTTTTAATTGTGTGGTGGACAGTCTTCCATATTCTGTAAAATGGCAGCTTCCTTCTACTATATGCAGTAACTTTGTATTGCTTTTTAAATGTTTTTGGTTTGTGGGAACAGTATCATTATCAACATTTGATTTTTAAAAATGCCCATACAATTTAATTCTATTTACATTCAAATAATGATCTATAAGTTTAATGATAACAATACCTTTCCAAACACATTAAATATGAAAATTAAACCAGTTTTTAAATAAACAAATAAATAAATAATAAACAGAGCATTCATGTACATGATTAGAGAATTTCAAACAAATCTACCTATATTCATATTTTTCACTTTGAAGGATAAATTACAGTTTTTAAAAGATACTAGATAAGAGTATTTTCAAATAAAATATTTTGAAGTTATTTGGATAATCCATTGTATTTCTTATACTCTAGAGTATTTCTTTGGAAAAAATCATGAAGATGTAAAACTAAATATTTTTAGATGTGAATTTTCCACAAATACATAATTTTAGCTTTGGATCTGAAATATGAAAAAGTGTGTTCAATAACAACTGCTGTGTGTGTTTATTCTGCAAGGTAAATTTTCTATATTTCCTTCTAGCAACTGTATAAATATGATTCAAATATATGCAATAAAATATAAATGTTCTATATACAAAGACCTCTTTGAGATGGGTGGTTTAAAAATTTGAAATATAAATAATATGTACAAATTGATAAATGGGTTCAACCTAAAGCCTTAAATAAACATGGTCTTCTTTAGCACAACAATTTAATTTTTTGTAAATATGCAAAATAATAAAAAACAAATTTGCTGACATGTGGAATCATCAACAATTCTCCAAATAATTGAAATGGTACTTGGAAGTCACATACTAGAGAAATTATCATGAGAGACAAGAAGACAGCTTTCTTAAATGTATTCCAAGTATGTTGGTGCAGGGTTGGGATCTTAAGCTGATATAACACTTGATACTTTCAATCCAATATGGGATTTTGCTCAAGATCACATATAGAAGAAGCATGAATGTATAGGCTAAACAAATGAGTAAAAGGGGTAAACCAGAGGTGGTATTCAGCTGGTTCTGACAAGTTCTGGAGTACCAGTAGCAGAAATTTTGAGTAGTTCAGAGAACCAGCAAATACCACTTTTGACTGGAGATTTTACAGTATCCTTCCACTGCCATGCCTACCAAGCCACGCCCACAGAACCGGTAGTAAAAAATTTTGAATCCCACCACTGGGATAAACTAGAGTGAAAAACTAATAATTCAAAGTGACAGAATGAAAATATTTCAGTCATACTTCTCTATCATGTTTTAAGGCACATTTTTGACTTTGTCAATATATTGCATGTTATGTGCCTTCTAGCTGGTGGGATATGGGTAAAAGGTTTTGGACCTCTACTAGCTTACAAAGAATAAAATGAGCATGCTTGGGGTAAAACTGGAGTGGCCATAGGCCCAAGCATTCTTTTCCTGTTAATATTAACAAAACCCATTTAAGAAGGAGGGAAAATAGTACAACAGTCATTTACCTAACCCTTGTAGGTAATCCAAAAAGATATAATTGAAAGTAGCTATGGTTAAGAGCAAGTTTCTGTTCATTTTGTTATATGAATTAAACCTATCAAGAGAAACAAGTTGAATGCAGTAGAATGAGACATTTCAGAAGTGTGTGGTAAAACAATAGGAATGAATTGATCAACCTAGAAGTAAATGAAAGGCCTTGAAAAGCCAAGTGACGGTGGCTTGGCTTAATGAATGTATTTCCCCAGTCTTTTCCCCAAATGCACTTCAATACAGCACAAATATGCTGTGCTTTGCTTCAAGTGCCTTGAATATCTAGGAGGCAGTGCTCATCTCAGTTTCCTAGCAAAGGAAGCCAGCAGTGTACCATTGTTACCTTCCCAGTGAAGTGGTCCTATTTGTCTACTTGCATTTGCATGTTTTCAAACTCCATAGTCCAACCCATTTATCTATGTTAGCATCAATAGCTCATTACAGTCAGTTATATGTAAAAATATGGCTTTTATCAGAGCCTAACTCAATGTGATCTAAAAACAACTTGAGTCCCTGCAGGACCTGATGTACAGGAATCCTCCATTAGAAGAGATTACTCACCATTAATAGCCTGTCAGAGCAATTTCAAATCACAAATCTTAGTCTTCCATTTGTTACCTGGAACTTTAAGGGTTCATTATCAACATTTTAAAAGGTGATATTAAGATTTTTAACATTGCAGTCTTGGCCTCTTTTCTAACTTTAGAAAAACATGTTCTTTTTCTTCTTAGTCAAGGCTGTTTCTTTTGGTCTAGGTATAGAACTTGTCTTTTCAGAAATAAACGATGTATTCTCAAAGTCCTTGAACACACAAGTTTTAGCAAAGTACACTTTGAGAAAGGAATTCATAATGCAATCGATAAATTTGCCACTTGTGGAATGTAATCTAGAATCAATGTTTTTATTGTTCAAGTGTCACACGTAATCAATGTCTTTCATTGTTTGACTGATTGCTTTCTGAAATATCAAATGCACTGTATAGTTTCTTCCTGTACCTTATATAAACATTTGACTCTCAATAAATGCTTTTTGCTTTGTCTCAATTACTTACTGTTTCGTATATTTTTAGGTAGCAAAGAAGCACATGTGCAATAGTAAATGTTTCTAAAATTTGGGGATCAAGTTCTTATCAACTTCACACCAAACTCGGAGTGCCAGAATTTCATGGCAACATATGGTTTAACATTTTGGTCTGTCTTACCATTGAAGCAACTAATATCTGTTTCACATCCAAAGGGTCATAATTTGCATGGCACTCGATTCCTTTAGCTCATCTTTGCTGGGAAACAACATACTTTGGGCTGGGGGAAAAAAACCTGGAACGGAATGAGTCCCCTCTTATAGGACCCAAATATATTTTCTCCTGATAAATACACTGGCAATATTTTCTTCTGCCCCTCTCCTAAGATATTGTGACAAATTTAAGTCACTCGTTGCTGTATCATGAAGTGGCATGTTTCCCTCAAGCGAACAACACCGATGGGCAGCTCTCAACGATGGTTTAAGGTTTTATTTTTTATTTAGTTATTACATTTGTTTTATTTATTATTACATTTGTTTGCCGCCCATCTCGCCCCAAGGTTTCTGGGTTCCCCATTACTTTGGAAGCTAAGCAAGTGGAGCCTGCCAATCAGCATGAGAATAGCCGAAGGGGCCATTATATGGTGGTGAGGAGAGCCCGGAATCCCCTGGTTCAGCCAGCGGTTATTTCAGTCGGGTGGGTTCAGTGACCGCTTGGAAAGAAAGCCCCCACCTTCCCCCTCTCGGTGGCCGTGCCTCGATTTGCGCCGGGACAGCGCCTTAGCGAGGGGCCTCCCCGTGAGGAGAACCCTGGCTCTCGCATCCCATCAGCTGGCCCTTAGCGCCACTCGCCTGAGGGAGAACGTCGGGCGCCATTTTTTTCCTTGGACGGACGATGAGTCGCAACTTTTGCCCCGCCGCCTTTTCCTTCTGGGCTTCGCTTCTGCTGTTCAAGGAAGTCGCGCCCAAAGCCCTGTCATCACAGAATCTTTCCGACAGTGAGCCTTGGGTCTTGGCCCATCTTCGCAGGGCATTGAGCTCGGCGGTTGACAGATCGAAGTTTGTGGGGGGTGGAACCGTCACCGGAGCGCGCGGGAATCCTTCGCGGAGGACGCGCAAGGGTCGTTGTCGTCTCGGATGGGGAGGTTGCGAACGCTCCCGAAAAGGAGGCGTCCTGCGGGCTTCACTGCTGCCATTTCTGCGGCATTGGCGGCTCGCGAAAGGCCCGTCGACGATTGCATAAATAAGGGCAAAAATGGGGATTGCCTCAAGCGTTTGATCTCGGTGACTACGCCGCGAGGATGTCCGCGCAAAGCTGCATTCTCACAGTGCGGGGGTTTCGTTCCCTACGATCTTTGTTGGGTTGTTGGTAGCAATTCTAAATAAAAGGGCTGTTACAACTTTTGCCTGCTACCTAATATATAAGGGCGGAATAAAAATAAATACAAATACTCATATGAGGAACTTGTGAGTATTAATCAAGTTGTCTGTTGAGTTCACTGCTGCTTCAATTCAAGTTGGACAACTCTTGTAATAATGAAAGCTAGTGGTATTTCATAATTATTAATCTCCAGTATCTGGTCCAATAACAGCAAATATTTCCTTCCCAGATAAATTTTTAAAAGGCTCTTTGGTTATTACTTTATGTATATTGTTGAATGTTGGTGTTGATTCTTGAGCTGTCTTAGAATTGAAAATTAACAATATAACTACATTTTGATTTCTAGGATGTGGAGCAAGGCCTGCAATAACAGCCGAGATTCAAACTGTAGGTGGACATGTTGTTCAGCCTGGAGCATGGCCATGGCAAGTTAGTCTTCAGATTTATCATATTCCATCAGGTCGATATCGGCATATATGTGGTGGATCTTTAATTAATAACAACTCGGTGCTGACAGTAGCACGTTGCATTAAGAAATGGGTGTATGTATCTTTAATTTCTAAATCTTTTTCTGTTCAGTTTGAAGATTTTAAATAAATGATTGAATTTTGGAATTGGAGAGATTCAGAAAAGTGTTTTAGTATACCTCTAGCCTTAACAACACTTGTTCAAATCTTTTTATCAAACTTTATAAAATAAAACTAGATAAAACTAGATGATATAGGGTTTCCAGTTTGAGCAGGGGGTTGGACTAGAAGACCTCCAAGGTCCCTTCCAACTTTGTTCTATTAGATACAGCAGCTTTTAATGTATGCAGAAAATATTTTAAGAGAGAGCAACAGCTAAAGAATTCCTGTATTTCTTTTCCTTGATAGTTAAAATGCTGTTCACCCTTTTGCCACTTGGCAGAAACATAAACTAGGATGAAATTTCTGTTAGGTATAGCTGTTAATTGCTATCCTTCCAAAGGTAGGATGCCACCAAATGGCGATGTCTTTATGTAGTATGAGTTAATGAGATTGGTGTATTCCTACAGCACTGTTTCTCTTCCTTCCCACCAAATATCAGAGGCTTGTGGGAGAGCATCTGCCAGTCCCCAGCCTTTAAATCTGCTGGGGCTTTGGAGTCTAAGCTGGAGCTCTACATTGCTAGATTATATCTTTCAAGATTCACTAAAGCTTTTCACAGGTTCCAGCCATGGTTAGAATTCAATAATGCAGGCTAACTGCCATCGCCTGGAGTACATCCTGACCAGGTTGAGTCAAGGTTGACTCAGTCTTCTATCCTTCTGTGGTCAGTAAAATGAGGATACAGATTGTTGCAGGCAATATGCTGTCATAAACAAATCAGAAAGTTCTGTAAAGCACTATGGAGCAGTTCAAGCCGTATAGGCGGGATAAGCAATCTAAGTGCTATTGCTATTAATCAACATTACCAAAATATCATCCGCTTGTGTTCTACAGGTGGTCCTTTGCTTAAAGACCACTGGTGCAGCACCATTCCAACTTAGGATCGGAGTAAGTGATAGTCAATGACTGGTCCTCATATTTATGATAGTCACAGTATCCTCATGGTCATGTGATGATGATCCAGGTGCCCAGTTATGAACAGAACTTTAGAATTCATTGTCATTCATATTCATTTTGAGCTATCACAAAGCTGAGGCTGTTGAAAAAACAGGTAGCTTGCATCCTGCCATCATGCATCAGTCTAAAGGTAATCTAAATTGTTTAACACCACTCTTAAGATCCATATTAGATACCACCCTTCACAAAAGCAAAAGAAGAAAGCTTATTTTTTTGTAAAGAATATTATATACCTTTGCCCACACAAACATCAGCAGTAGTAAAAAGGAGAAAAAATCAGAATATTTATCCTATGAAGTGTACACAATCCCACTTAGGAACAGGAAGTCTCTGTGTGAGTTCTTCCTTCTCACTTTAATAAAAAATGTACACTTTTTGTTGTTGGGTAAACTGCTTTTTTGTTTCAAGACCAGAGGAGCCAAGAAGAGATTTCCTAGGACAATATTACTTCTGCTGCTTTAAAATGTACCAAATGATTAAATTATATTTAGAAATAGATAGTGCAAATATTATGTCTGTGAAAAGTTTAAAGTTCAATCACATGACTCAACTGCTCATTGATTTCAGAATTGATAAGCCACTGAAAAGAGGATTTTAAAGTTTCAGCCACTAAAATGGCATTGATGAGAGGGTCCATTTTAAATTACTTTCTTTTTAAACACTTTAAAAATAATATATACAATTTGAGAGATTTTTCAGATAGAGAAGTGTCTAATAGATATAGAAGTAGAAAAAAAGCATCCTATTTTGAATTATGTTTTTAGGACATCATTTTTTTTGTCTGAACTAGCCTTATTTCTAACAAAAAAAAATGGAAAAATTGATATAAAGTATTCAGTGAAGAGTGAACAGATCACTCCTACCATCAACTATAAAGTCACTAATTGCAATGGATGATTGCATAATTATGCAGCTATGCATAATGGTGGCTATTTTCTTTTCTAAGAATTCTCTGAAATACTTTGTTTTCACAAGAAATACTTGTTATACTGGCTTCTTTATTTTCTAGAATGTCCAATTTCTATTTCTGAATCATCTTTTTCCTTCACTAGCATGCAGTTGGTTTTCTGATAGCCACAGCCTAATTTGTGAACTCTACTTAGATTTATGCTCTACAGGAAAACCTATTGTTATAGTAGTGAACATCAAGTTTAGAAATTAAAAAATCTCCAGCCAAACTCACTTAACCAGTGCTTAATTTTTTTAAACCAATTTGTTATTGTAATTTTTAATGGCACTAAATTTCCACCCCCATCCCAGTATCCACAGAAATATACTGTGCTGGAAATGCACTTAAATACAATAAGTCATTTAGAAAAAATGTAGTTTTCTGTCTTATTTCTGATTGAAAACTGCAAAACTCTAGGATAGATTTTTTTTTCTCAGTTGTTGTCAATGACCAATTTTGAAGTGATGTGTTTAGTTTGAGTTGCTTAAAATAGAACATGTTTTGGTTTGGTTTTTGCACTTTTTTCTGTAAAACATAATACGACCAGTAGCACATTGACTTCAGTGCTATATAGCACTCTTTCATCTACTGTTTTATAGTGATATTTCATTTGGCTAATGTCAATTCTTCTATTTGGGGATTTTTAAAACATGCTGGTCCAGATTCTAGATGGAAATGAGTACAGAAATTGGAATCTTTCTTTCTATGCAATATGTGTTTTACTATAAAATAAATCTTGGTGATTGTCTGAGGTTTGTTGCCAGTTAAACTATCAATATAATATTGTCCTTATATAAATTTACAGAAAATCTTCACTTTGAATACTGTATATAGCTTTATTCACTATGCTTCAAAAAGCATACTATGGAATAGTAAAAATGCAAAAATGTAGCTTATTTGGATAAGATGATGAATTTCTTGGCTTAGAGCAACGTCAGGTAAAGGGAGTTATGCTAAAGCATAGATATATGCTATATATGAAATCATATGCAGTATGAAAAATGGTCAACAAGTGGGCTGTTCCATTGAAATTAAATGCAGGGGTTTTTAGTATCAAAATAACTTTTTCATACAGTTTATAATTAAAGTATAGAATTCACTGCAATCAGATGTGGTAGTAATAATTCAGATGATTTTAAAGTGCAGATGAATGAATAAATTCATGGAGGAGAAAACTACTAGTAGTTAGTAATCTTGCTAGTTGTGAATATCATACCTTAGAGGGGGGGGGGGGGGGGGACAATGGAAGAGAATTACTGTATTGTCCTCAGTTATTTGCTTTTAAATTTCTTAAATACATCAATTTGGGGACAGGTACAACATTCCTTCCCCCAATCCATTTAAAGTCATTATCTCCTGTATTCATGTTATAATGCTACATATATAGAGATTTATTGTTCAGAACAAAAAATATTGTATGGTATTTGTATCTCATGTTTCTATATTCCAGTTGTCAAATTGAATACTTAAAGAGTTTCAAAGAATAATTGTTACAATAAAACAAAGTCCAAATACAGAGATGTATAACATGGTTATAGAAGATATTCACAATGTAAACACTGCTATAGTAACATTGTAAAGTTTGGAAATATGTTTTTAATTGTCAAAATGTTGAATAAATAAATTTAAAACAAAAACAAAACAAAGTCCTAATGGCAGGGAACAGTACTTGTGTTGGTTTTATTTAAGGGATAAAATTCCAAGTTTTCTTACTTCATAGTATTCTTGAACTGAACTAAAAATACAGTACTACAGATTTTAAGATTGCATAACTCTAAAATTATATAAAGCAGCCACTGAGCCTCATTAACTCTACAAAGGTTTTTATTATCCTAGGAACCCAGAATATTGGAGAGTTGTGATTGGTTTACATCATCTTTATAAACCTCATTCTCACACCATAAATCGTCGGGTGAGAAGTATCATTGTTCATTCTGATTTCAAGTGGGACAGCTATGAAAATGACATTGCAATGTTTAAACTTGTGAAGTTTGTTGAGTACAATAAATATATTCAGCCTATCTGCTTATCTCACAATTCTCATCTCGTGACTGATAAAAATCCATGTTATGTAAGTGGATGGGAAAACAGAAAGAAAAAAGGTAATTATTTAATTTTTCTGTGGATAACGTTTCATGAATTCAGAAAGCTTTCACATTTTAAGTAATTTAGCTTACTATGGAGAACAGGGCTGGGCTTCCTTTCACCCTACAAGAAAGCCTGTGATGCTATCATGAGGAGGGATTGGGCTGATTCTTAGTCTTTAAGGCTGGTTCAGAGGTGCATATGGGAACAGGAGACCTGTAGAAACCAAATTACTCCTACTGCTAACATTAAGATCCCTGAATCTCCATCCTCCATCCTTGTCTGTCTGCATTAATATAACTTTCAGCCTTAGCCTATTGAACTAAATTAAATTTCATTATCTGCTAAATTATTTCATATTATAGATGTGAAGCAACTTTTTTTTTGGCCAATGATTCAAGCAATTCGATATGAGTGCTTTCATATTAGGGCTATGAAATGTTAGAGTATAAAATTTTAGGCTAGGAAAGAAAACCCAGGAGAATGAATAATTTTTATATAATCTACATTCATGTGTATTTAATAATTTCCATTATTTTAAATATATAGTGACAACTTCTGGAGATGCTCTTGTGCCTGCATACTTTTCAGGCATATTTGTTTTAAATAAGTTGCCCCAGGGATCATGAGCCTCACTATTTTGTTCTGGTTTCCTGATATAATCAACACTAAGAAATTATCACTTCCCAATCTGCTGTTTTCTAGGTAAGGAGAAGAGTAGTGAAAGGGACACGGTGGCTCAGCAGCTAAGACGCTGAGCTTGTCAATCAGAAAGGTCGGCAGTTCAGTGGTTCGAATTTCTAGGAGCGTAATGGAGTGAGCTCCCGTTACTTGTCCTAGCTTCTGCCAATCTAGTAGTTTGAAAGCATGTAGAAATGCAAGTAGCAAAATAGGAAACACTTTGGTGGGAGATAACAGCGTTCCGTGCACCTTCGGCGTTTAGTCATGGCAGCCATATGACTACGGAGACTTATTTGGACAGTGCTGGCTCTTCGAGTTTGTAATGGAGATGAACACCACCCCCTAGAGCCGGAAAGGACTAGCATGTAAGTGCGAGGGGAACCTTTACCTTTACTACACTGTGAGCGGAACTGATGACTCCAATGGAACAAAGAGATGGAAAGGATCGCTGTTCAGGTTTCCTCTCTGATCAAGAGAGCACTTTGGAATGTCCACATATGCTCCAGACAATTGCTTCTTACAAGGAGACCACCAGCCAATGATCTCCAGCAGGTTTAAAGTTCTGGGAGATGAGAGTTTGTCATCTTTGCCCAAGCTGGCACTTTTAAAAAAGACAGCGGATTTCCTTTCTTAATCGCTTTCGGAAATTGCTTATTAACTGTTTTTCAGATATTAAGAACCTAAAGAAAGGCAAGTTTTACTACACTGAAGTGAGTTTCCTTCCATCCTTTAGCAGAAGACTTCAAAACTTCATCTCAGGTGTAAACAAATTTAGTGATTGTTCATCTCCACTAAGATTACAATTGACCAACATTATATTTCTTTTAGTTCTAACAGTCTTAATCGTCATTCAATCGTTTAAGTTTTTTTTTTCTTCAGTTCTTTTTTATCTCATCACAAATAATTGTTCAAGTCTTTTACATACTTGTTTTTTAAATCCAGTAATGAAAGAATATTTAGTTTACTTTCTTGGTTCATCATTTGTTTTCCCTTTTGATCTTTAAAATATAATCAGTTTCTTTTCTATAACCAGTGAGAAATCCTTTTCCAAGTTATTCTTTTGGCATGTCATTTGTAAATCCGCTTTAAGTATCTAACTTGTTAGATAAAATACGTTTTGCATTTCTTCAATTTCATTTTTTAAACACAGTCTAACTATAGAGGCAGACACCATGACTGACACAATTGATATTGTGGCTATTAATCTCTGGTTCTATTCTTCAAGTCTGCATTAATATTTTGAATGTTATAATGTTTTGCATCATTTTAATTGACACAAAAGTTTTCCCCCCTCTGCCTAGAATCTTTAGTTCCCTCTAGTGTCCAATTTTAAAAACATAAAATTACTTATCATTATGTCTTGCAAAACCAAAAAAGATCAATTTCCCAATTTCTTTGTTTTTTATAATTAATTCCAAAATCATCTTATATTTCTATATTCCCAATTTATCTGCCCTCTTGTTCATTCATAACTTTCTGAGATCAGTCTTCAGTTTTTGCTGTTTATTACAAATTCTTTAAATTTTTAATCTTACAATTAAATTTTTCTTTCACTCAGGGTTGAAGCAAACTCACTTGATGTTTTCAAACTTATCATTCCAAAGGTCTCTAATAGATTAAAAGTAATTAAAAAGCAAGTTTTGAAAGATAATAGAAAATGAGGTTAATAGTATCTCTAAAAGGTGCTGAGCACAGTTGTAAGCAAGATGGCTATTCCTGTCTTCACAGAGAAGACAGGACTAGACCTAATCACTAGTTCTTCATTGTTTGCCACAGTTATTAACGCTGCATTTGTAAAAGTATCTTCAGTCAACCATTCCTTCCCTGGAAGCCAATTTTTATTTCTCTAAAAATGAGATTATCATATGTTTTTATAACATTTGAAATACGTTGTTAAATTTAAGGATGAAATAATATTATATAGAAACTATCTGGATCTTTTAATAATTTTTTTAATCCTTTTATGTTTCATTTATTTTAATGATTACAGTGCATGTAGGTAGGGGGCTCTACAGAAAAGATTGGGTGGTTGAAAAAATGCCTTTTTTGGTCAACTAATGATTTGAAGGCTTAGGACATCATGCTTAGAAAATAGCACTGCCAATGTTCTATATTTTCCATAAGGCTTGTCTTACTACAAAATTAGCAACAGGGTATCTGTAGCAGTTAAAGAATTAACAGTTTTATAATGGTACTAGTTCTTATGAACTGGAGTTCACTCTATCTGATATTTCAAGTTCTGTCCTTAGCAAAGGGTGTCTATATATGCTGTTTGTACAATAGTAAACATGATTAAGAAAAATGAGGTACAATAAATAAAAATTGTGATCATTACCCACTGGTAGTAGCCTTTGACCTTTTTGTAATGCATGCACATTGCTTAGAGATAAACTGAAGTCTTTGAACATTTTTTCCATAATAACTTGTTAATTTTAAAGGTAACTTTTTTTTTACTGCTCTTTTGGAAACTTGAAAAGAATGCTGAACATATTTTGTGTTTTTTTTTACAGGCAAAATTCACACTGTATTACAGGAAGCTCGAGTAATTACTATTCCACTAAATGTCTGTAATAAATATGAACATTATAAAGAAAGATTATCAACTGATATGATTTGTGCTGCCTCACCAACAAATAGCTGTGTGGTAAAATAAAAATATTTTTATAAGTTTTAAGTGTATAATATATAGTGTCATTTGGTATTTCAGCAGTGCCTTAAATTGAATAATGAGTTGATAAAAGAAATTGTGAATTCATGTATTTTTAAAGAACTTTTTTTTAATAAGGAACATCTTAAAATAACTTCTTTTAAATTAACTATAGGTAGCCCTCAACTTATGACCACAATTGAGTCCAAAATTTCTGGTGCTAAGTGAGACATTTGTTAAGTGAATTTTGCTCCCATTTTAATGACTTTTCTTGCCACATTTGTTAAGTGAATCACTGCAGTTACTAATACAGTTAAGTGAATCTGACTTCCCCCTTTGCTTGCCAGATACTGCAACTGTACTAAATGAGTCAGCTGGCAAGCATCTAAAGGCTGTTCTTAGGTGGAGTATTTAACATTTCTGCTAGTTTATTTAAACTGATCATGTGGCCATGAGGAGGCTGCAATGGTTGAAAGTGTGAAAAACAGTCATGAGCCACTTTTTTCAGTGCTGCTTTAACTGAATGGTCACTAAATGAACTGCTGTTAAGTCGAGGACTCAACTCTCAGCCTTGAATTGGCTTTGTATTGAACCCAGATGGGATCAAATGCTCTTCTTTCGTATAGTCAATGTTCAATTCACTATTTTAAAATTTATTGGTAACCTTTATATTCATATAAAATTAAAGGTTTGAAAATATTCAATGGCAGAGGAACTTCTGACATACAGTATGAAAATTTTGTATTTTCATGGATTTTTCTATCTACTTTTTTGTTTCTTTGAAGTGTTTGTGTTTATAGGGTTTTTAATATTTCTATACATATTTTTTCTTAAGCACCTTTTCACAGCCCCATAGTTTTTAACATAGTTTTCATGAGTTTTTTAGTCTATGATAAGTGTGTACTATGCCAACAAAATTATATTGATTTTTTGAAATTAAATTAATAATTGATTTTTTAAAAAACATTTTTGTTACCTGAAGGCCTGTGTAATTACACTCTTTCTGAACCAAGCAGAAGATTCCTATATAGTATTTCAGAACTTCAGAATAACATGAACATTTTACTTTTTCCATGTTTTTCATATTCTAGGGAGATAGTGGTGGACCTTTGATGTGCTATTTCCCAAGTGTATCGAAATACTATCTGATAGGCATCACCAGTTTTGCCAGTGGCTGTTATCCAGATGAGTATCCAGGACTCTATACACATACAGTTAGCTACAGAAAATGGATAGATTTTCATCTTCATAATAAAACTGCAACCACAGTGAACATCCAAAGTATTCTAGTTCTTTTAACTATGGAATGGATAATCTTTCACCTTCTATAGACCTGTTCTTAGGTGGAGTATTTAACATTTCTGCTAGTTTATTTAAACTGTGTCAACTAATTAAATTTGCAATGTACTATCCCAACAGCTTTTAAAATATATTTCATTTGTAATTTAGATCACATTATTAAACATTTCTGTATTGTATTAAATGCCTGAAATTTTGTTATGCTGTTTGATATAAATTAATTGATGTTATCATTTGGCACATATGGTAGAAACCAATCACTAAGTTGAAACTTAGTATGATCTATGAATTACTGGTGCAAGATTATACCAAATATTTAATATAATATAGTAGGTTGATCTGCCTTGATTTCTCTAATAGGATTAGCTCTAAACAAGGGTCACAAAATTGGAGAAAGCTTTTTTCCCTTAGTTTGCAACTCCAAATATTTCTATCTTGTTCCTGTAGAGCATTTTGAAGAATGGATCATAGGATATTATTGCACAGATAAATTCCTCCCTTTATTATAGCAATGGATCCAATCTAAAATCACCTTTGAAATAACAGAGTAATATTTCATCTTTTACATTTAGCTAATTTAGAGAAAAATTATAAAGACCTAAAAATGAGTTTCTGGTATGAGTCCTATAAACATTAAATGTTGAATTCATTAATATATATGAATGAAAATGGTAAGAAGAATGAGTGTAAAATATGAGAATGTGAATTACTTCATGAAAGGATATGAAAAGGCATGTGTTGTGGCATATATTTGTAGAAATCTCATGTATAAATGAATGGAATATATGAGTGTTATGTCTCCTCTTGGAGATTCAAACGAACAAACACAAAGCAGCCATTTCACAATCAAATCAAACTGTAGAAAATAACAAGATAACGGCTGGCAAAAACTGTTAGGACTTCCCTTCAAAATTCAAACAAACAGAGATCTCTTTGCAGTAACGAACGTCCTCATTCAAAATAGACATTTTGTTTCTGGCAAAAGGCACCAGCTCAGCTGTGTCCTTTTATACCCATTAAGGCAACGTGCTAATTAACTGGCTTGCCCTTCAGATTAACGTTCCCTGGTTCTGACGTCATTCCACGATCTAACAGTCTTCAGATTCGAAGTTTCTTAACAGTACCAATCCTTCCAATCACAACATATGAGTATATGTGAAGGCATGGCACTGAATAAATGAATATTTCAAATTAGTGACAAAAATATTTTGAGCCTTTAAAAACTTAAAACATTCCATCAAAGACCACCGGAGAACAATCCAATATTATTTTTTTAAAAGGCTGTGTAGAACTGTCTGCAGAAGAATAGAGAAATTAACATCTAATGGTCCCATGCTGAGATATTCTTGTACCTTTAATATTTTGAATGAAAAGTATGCCTCCAATCTCCCTAACCTTAATTTATATATGGATATTATAATTAAAAAGTGGTAAATAATTCTTAAAATAAACTATTTTATTTGTATTTCCTATATACCTCTACACATAATCACCATTACTTTCTACATACTTTGGCCAATGATGGACAGGCTACTTAAAGCTTAAAGTCTGCTTCTTCAACCAGGTCTGAAGTTCTTTCTTCCTCCATACTCATACTTGTCCATGAAAGTATACCTTCAATTATTGAAGAAGGTGGAAGTTGCATGGTCCCAAAACTGGACTGCATAGTGGATAAGGTTAAACAGTGAAATCAAATTTGCAATTGCCTCCTGGGTGAGGAGTGAGATTTAGTACTGCCATACTGCAGCAAAATTTCCTTTTGTATTTCCAACAGTGGTGGAATTAAAATATTGTTGCCACTGGTTCGGTGGGCGTGGCTTTGTGCGTGTGCTTTGTGCGCATGCAGACTTTGTGTGCATGCATGCACTGAATGCATGCACATTTTGCGCAGGTGCAGAGGCATTTGTGCAGGCACAGAGGCGTTCTAACTCACCTCCTGCAAGCCTGCATGATCCCAGTTGCTTCAGCAGCTGCCGCGCAGCACTATTCTGTGCCGTGCAAAGCAGCTACGCTTCAACTTCAGCAGATAAAAGTGAGTATGGGAGCCCGGGAGGGTGCGTGGCCCCACAAAGAGCAGCAGAGAGAACCGGTTCAGTCTCCGCTGCTCATCGTTGCTACCAGCTCTCCAGAACCAGACTGAACCGGTTATAATACAACATTCTGAGTTGACAGTAATGCCAGTTTTAAGGAAATCCATGTGAATAATATTAACTACCACCCCCAAAACTTACAAATTTTCCTACCAAGGCCTAGGTTTACTTCTGCAATATTGACTTTGACAGGTCACAAAAGGTGAACACATGACCCTGAGACGCTAGCCATCATAAATATCAGGCATGTATCTGAATTTTGATCACATGAGCAATGGGGATGCTGCAAAAGGTTGTAAGTCACCTTTTTCAGTCCTGTAACTTTGAACTATCACTAAATGAACTGTTGTAAATTGAGGAAAAACTATTCAGTCCATTTGGGTCTGGTGTCTTTCCAATTTTAATCTCTATAACTTTTTTTAAAATAAATTTTATTGATTTTACAATTAAAACAAACCAACAACACATAAATGAAAGAGAGAAAAAGAAGAAAGGGAGAAGAAAATAGAAAAAAAAATAGAAAACAATTAAAAACATTCTCATCTTAAAGTTTTTAAGATCTCTTTTTTATCCTTATTTTATGCCATATACACACACACCTAATCCTTACATATATCTGTGTATCACTACGATGGATTTATCCTATCCTCTTTTGCCTTTTAGTGTGAAGTCTATCTTTGGTCTATCCATTTGTACCAGCAGTTCCAGCTGTTGTAGTATATTGAAGTGTCTTTATTTTTTAATGCCAAAGTTAATTTGTCCATTTCTGCACAACTTGAAATTTTTTGAATGATCATCTCTGATGGAACATGAGGCTGCTTCCAACATTGTGCAAAAACTAATCTGGCCGCTGTCAAAATGCGTATTATTATTTCACTTTTTTGATATTTGTTTATCAAAGATCCCTAACAGAAAGGCCTCTGGTTTGAATTAGATCTGTTCTCTTGTCATTTCTTCCAGCCAATTTCTAATTTTCTGCCAATAGTTTTGAGCTTCTGTACAGGACCACCACATATGGAAAAAAGTTCCCCCCTTTTTTTTTGCATTTCCAGCAATTCGGACTCATATTGGGGTGCATTTTCGCTAATCTCGGAGGAAGGTGCCATCTATAAAACATTTTATAAGCGTTTTCTTTGTATGCTAGCGATTTTGTAATTTTATTATTTCTACCCCAGAACTTTTCCCATTCTGTTATGGTGATGCTATGTCCTATATTCCTACTCCAGGCTATCATGTTCCCTTTTACAATTTCTTCTTCTAATTCTACTTCTAATAAATAATAATTATTATTTTTTGCCTGATCCTAATAAAATTAGCTAATTGCTGGAGTTTATTGTTAATTCCAAATTCTTTCTTGTCCTGTTTATTTCTACTTTGAATTTGAAGATATGACCACTGATCAATTTTTAGTCCCCGATCTTGAAGTTCTTGCTGCGATTTCAAATTTTCTTGTGTATCCAATAGGTCCTTATATTTAATCATTTTAGTGAATCATCGCCTCCATTGTTGAAATCCAAATTGGTATTTTTAAATAGTGGGGTTTTTTTCCGTATTTTCTTCCAATTAGTTAATAATGAGTCTCTGATTAGGTGTCTGTGGAAATATTTCTGTCTAGTTTTCCCTACATCCCATAAAAAAGCATGCCACCCCCTCTGCAAGTCATGGCCCTCTAAAAATAATATTCTCTTATTGGTTAAATTCACCCATTCCATCAACCATACTAAAGAGGCTGCACTATAATACAACTCCCAATTTGGAAGTGCCAGCTCTCCCCTGCTCTTCATATCCTGCATTGCCTTTAAATTTATTCTAGGTTTTTTCACTTGCCAGATAAATTTTACAGTTATTTTATTAAATTCTTCCAAAAAAAATGTGTGTACTTTGATTGGGATCGTCTAAAATATATATAGGAATTTTGGAAGAATAATCATTTTAATAGCAGCAATCCTGCCTAATAATGAAAGTTGCAGGTTGCCCCATGTTTCTAAATCCTTCTTTACCTGTTGCATCAATTTATCATAATTATTTTCCTTAAGTGTCTTACAATGTGCCGTCAACCATATTCCTGAGTATTTAACTTTCTTTATCACTTGTATTCCCATAACTTCTAGTTCTATTTTCTGTTTTTCTGTTAAATTTTTAGTCATTAATTTTGTTTTCTTCCTGTTAATTGTAAGTCTTGCTACTGCTCCAAATTGTTCTAATTCATTCATCAATTTTTGTCCTCCTTCTATTGGTTCGTCAATGAAAAAAATCATATCATCCGCAAACACTTGCAACTTATATTCTTTAATCTCTATAACTTTAATCTCCTGAATTGTAAATGGATTGCTTAATCCATTTACAATTCAGGAAATTAAAGTTATAGAGTATGTGTTTCATACAATTCAGTCTGTGTTCTTCAGAAACTTCAAATTCTGAATTTTTAATGATGTTTTCAAACATTTTTATTATATGCTTAGAGTACAATTCTAATCAGTACTGAAATCTATGATGGACAGTTAATACAATAATTTGAAACTCTGAGCCATGCCACCGTACTGTTTTTCTGAATCTTGCATATGCTTGAATTTAATACTTAGCCTTTTATTTATATATAATTCATTTACTTGTCTGTCAGGCATTTAATATCTTACTCTCAATACAAACAGAAATAATTTGAAATAAAAATATTAGACTTGGTAAAATATTCACTTAATCACTGCAATTCTTGCTAATGAAGTCAAATTTAATTTCTATCAAGAAATATGTCTTTCCGTATGTTTTTTTAAATGCTAAATATTTGACTTAATGATAATGTTAAAGCCTATTAGTCAATGTCCAATTCGTTTTTCATCCTCTGTCAAATTCAATATCAGCATCTGAGTTTTTTCTTCATTATTCTGATACTCTTGACACTGAAAAATACTGATAAGAGCAGCCCCCAAT